CAAATCTATGTGTTTGATATGAAATACAAATGATTACAGAGAATCTGTAATCCTGGCTTTATTCTTCCTACATTGATCAACCAGACAACAATATGGTAAAAAGAGAGGTAAAATATATCTTCTCAATTTATATTGTTTGCAGGTTAATATTCAGTATATATGGCTACCATGGAAATAAGTTAAAATAGTCATAGTCATAAGAGATGGTAAAAAACTTTAAATAATGCATGTCCCTAAACTATGGATGCAGAATTTTAAAGGTTTCTATTTATAGTCTTTAAGGGAATGTAGGATTACACAGGAGTATATTTTTATGTGAGTACAAATTCAGAAAGTAAATTTGTAAAAAATTAATGAAGGGAAAGTAAGCCTAAATGTGATGTTATCTTTTCTCTCAAGGCAAAACAAAATTATCCAATTATTACTATTATTCTCCTAGTTTTTCTATTAATAAATAGAAAGAACAATCCAGCATTAGTAACTTCCACTGAACAGGCAGTCCACCTGCAAGGAGCAGCACCCAAGCTCTCACGATGTTAAGACAGAACAAGGTGATTCACATCAGCAAAACAGATTGTATTGTCTTCCTGCAGGAGCTCTTTACCCTGAGGAACAAAGGATGGGTGAGAAATCTTAGTTTTGATTTTTAAATATAGGTTCTAATTTATCAGTAAAAGAAGTTGTAAAGCATGGGGTAACCTTGAGCATACTCCTTTCAAGCCTCTTCAAATGGGAAAAAGCAAACTGCTCATGGCTTCTTGCTGATTTTCTGCTTATGTAAAGGTCAAGTGTATCAGAATGAAAATCCTGATATCTTCTGGGCAAGCTCACCTTCTCAAGGACCGGATTGTCAAGCATGTGTCAGGGGATAATAGTTATACATCTGTTTCACCTGCCTTCCTAACTCTACCTTACCTGCTGTTCTCTATTGTCCCAGCCAATGAATGTCCTGGTGAATGGGCCAGTATCTAACACATGCAGGATTTGCTTAACCAACATAAATAGTGCCCCTATTTTGCCCCTACAGGAAGTTGTTATAACTTGCACAAGCTATTTGTCAGGTTTTTTTTTTTTTTGGTTATAATTTACTGTCTATAACTATTTTGTAAGCTATTAATGAGTTTTGACCATTCAGCCCCCTTTCCTAACCAATAACAAGGAAGGGTAGTGAATACAAAAAATATTAAAGTCTTTGTGGGTATGTGTACTTGGAGGGTAGAATTTTAAATATCTACTATGTCAACAAGACAATAAAAAATGCTATGCTTGTGAGAAAGTTAGAAAAGACTACATCCTATGAAATATACTTTTTTTTTGTTTTGGCCAAACTCTTTTGTTAGTTGAAAATTTATTCCATTATGCTGGATTTCAATTCTAATGACTTCCCTGGATATTTCTTTACTGCTTATAGCAATTTGACAAATATTAAAATTATGTCATCCTAAGACTGCCGGCACGAGATGAGAAGACATTATTTCTTTGTTCTTATTTGGTCTTATGATGGATAACTATTTTTTATTACTTCAAATCATTTCATAGAACTTCAATTTTATTTTGAAGGAAAAGAAATGGATGTTGACGGTGCTTTAGAAATTAGGATTAAGCTGCCAGTAACCTTGATGTCAGGCAGTGGAGCAAGCAATAAATGATGAAATGTGAGAAGACAGCCTTATCTTGGACAAAGTAAATCCGAGTACTTTCCAGCAGAATCTATTAGAATCACATTTTGTTTATTCATTTGCTTGTTGCATAAAAATAAGAACTGGTCTCTTTTTCTCTAAGTCTAATTTAGAAATTGCTAATTTTGGTCTGTTGCTATGTCCTTAATTAATGAGCAGAAAAAGCTACCCTGAGATATTACTACTATTAGAAACTTTGCTGATATTTCCATTATTTTTACTCAACAGGGATTCTAGATGTAACTTTTATATCTGATAGGTATTTGTTATGGACACTCAGAAATTTTTAATTGAAATATCTGCATTAAAAATTTCCTCCTAATAGAAATTCCATTTATGTTTATTCATCTAGAAATGATATTTCCAGATTATTCTAGTGAAGATTGTTTTAATGTTATCAGCGAGAATTGCTTTGGTGCTCCACCCTGTTTTTCAGGATTTCACGTGCCTTCCTTTCATAGATGGCTTGCTTCAGATCTATACAGCAATTGCTGATGTCAAACATTTGCAGAAATTTTAACTCAAATCGTGTTCATTAAATCCAAATCCCCATATTCTTATCACATGCTTAAAATTATTCATCTTAAATATTTATTTAATATCTACATTTTAACCAAAGTTTCAGAATTTAATACCAATATCACTTCAGGATGGCTTTATTTTTGTAATACTCTTAATGATTTCAGTTGGTTAATAGTCATATTTATGGTTTTTTATTCATATATATATTTTTCTTTCTAGTCTTGTTTTAGTAACCTTTTAAGAAAAATTAAGAGAAAGTTACAACCACCTTGGGAATCATTAACTCCTTTCTCCAGTTAGAACTCACTGCCAACTAGGTTCCCTCTACAAATGAAAGACAGGACTAAGCTTATTCTCTCTCAGAAAGGAAGGTTCTTTTCCTTAGTTCACCTGACTGGGGAGTGAAGGGGTGTTTCTGGAATTACTATGGAAACCTTAAGAAATAGTAATCTGAACTAACCTTGGACATAATCTGACAAAAAAATTAGGTGAAAAACATTTATTAGCATGTCATCTATGTGAAGAACAAGAGATTCTTACGGTGATGGAGTACCCTGCAGTTTGGCTGCATCAATATCAATATCCTGGGTGTCATATTGTACTATGGGTTTACGTTACTATTGCAGGAAACTAGATGAAGGGCACACAGGATCTCTCTGCATTGCTTCTCTGCACCATTACTATATGTGAACCGAAAATTACCTCAAAATAAATTTTAAAAAATATGCATCTGAGGTGCTTATTTAATTCCTCGCTGCCCTTTTCTGTAACTAGGCAAACATGGAGAAAATCTACCTAAGAATTGTCCAAAACGCGGTTTTATTCAGAATAAAGCTCTGTCCTCGATTTTCTCTTGCGTTTGTCTCTAAGGTTTCTCTTTCATTTTGCTTTAAGAAGCCTGACTTCCAGTCACAATTTTACCAATAAACAAATGATCTAAGACATATTATTTTACTTCTTTTGTTGTCAGTTTTCTCATACAAAACGAAGGATTGATCTAGATAAATTTTGAGGTTTTTCTAATGCTAAAATTCCATGATTCCAAGTATACTGCACTGGTGCAAAGTATTTACTAAGCAAATTATATTAACTCTGACAAGTTATCAGAAGACAGCCTTAAGTAGGATACCTAACAACAAGGTCAACATGGTGGGTTTCTTAGGTTTTCATCGGTGGACAGCTTTGGAATAGAAAGAGCATCTCAGGATTCCTAGAAAAATACAGTCTTCCAGCAGGCAACTAAAATTTGCTTTTTCCATATTCCCATTATTATGCAAAATCCAGGTGACCTTTAACTGAACATTAATGCTTTTTAAAATGTTAGTATTAACATTACATCTCAATATAAAAAACTTAAACCAAACTCTCCCTGAGTAGGAGCCATTGGTGACTAAGTGTCTTTACCAAGAATACTCCTCACAAAAGAAGACTGTTTTCTCCAGTCATTCTTAACCTCCACACAGTGCAAAAGCAAATGCAAACTCATTTGTGAAGATGTATTTATTCAGTTACTTGAATGTTTTGCTCTCAGATTCTGTTGAAGATTAAAACAACCAAAGGTCACATGAAAAACATCACTGGATATTCTTTAAAAACCTTTTTAAAGAGACTGTCTTGATATTGTTCAGGGTCTGCTGCAAAGGGATTCACACAGGTTTAGCATGGATAGAAATATATCTTTTGAGAATTTAAACCATGAAAAAGTTCTTTTCTCCTAAACAATGTACACATTTATTTATGTCACATAATTAGAATTTATATTCTATGTTTTTCTCAGTCTTTGCAGTCTAAAAGCTTACACCTTAATTTAAAACTCAAACTTAGTACTCTTAGATTATTGGTATTAAACAGTTTTTAGTATACATTCAGAATTAAGATGAATAAAGAATTAAGATGAATAAAGATTTCTGGGTCTACAGCAAGAGATTCTGATTAAGCAGGTCTGTAACAATAGCCTTTAAACTGCCTTCTTAATGGCTATCCAAAATAAATATGCTGCAAGTGACCCACTGACCTTCTGTTGTGAAATACTAGCTTAGTTTTAAATTATTTCCCGTTTTTGACATTTCAAAGCTATCTATTTTTATAGTAGTAGCTTTATTATATAATTATTTTATCTTAGATAATCTAATTATTTTCTAGAATTAAGTGGGACAAAAATAACTTGTGTATCTTGGCATAAATATAAACTTATATCAGAAGCAATTAATTTGAATTCCAGGAGAAAAACGATGGATATACATCCTTGTATCCTAGGTAGGAGAGAACTTCTTAGATCAAACTGCAAAAAACAAAAAACAAAACTAAACATAAAGATAAATTTTATGGTATCCAAATTAAAAATTTCTACTCAATAAAGGATACCACAGACAAAATTAATAGCTGGCAGACAGGATAATATACATGCAGTTTCTGAAAGCATCAGGTAATTACAAAAGATTCTGCTATCTGCACACACACACACATACACACTAAAATCTACCCAGAACTTATGCCAAAGAATAGAAAAAAAATAGTGACCCCAGTGAAACATGGGCAAAGAACATGAGTAAGCGACTCAAAGAAAAAGTATCAAAATGCTCATAAGCACTTAGTGCTTCCATTCATTGGTCATGAAATTAAAAACGAAAAATAAGATATCACTTTACATTTAATAAGCTGGTAAACACTAAGAAGCTAACAAGGACTGTCAGGGATACAGTGTCTTAAGGATGCAGCTACTTTGAAAACAATCTGGCTGTCAAGGACCTTGCCAGCCCTTTTCTTGTCCATAATATTTTCTAGGTAGGAATCACACACCTGTGATGCTCACCAAACCATCAGAACTCCATATTAAGTTTTTGCCTTCTCCTTAAATCGCCTCTCTCTTGACTTGAGGAATGGCAGAAGTGCCTCATCCCCCATGGGAGAATGTCAGAGTCTCAGTACACCAATAGCCCTCTCCCAAAACCAGCCCTTCAAAATTGAGCCCATGAGCCTTTTGTACCCTCCATGCCAGTGGAAGGGTTATGAATCATGCAGCCATCCTCCAGTCTCCCATGCTGTCCCTGGAAAGTCTCTGGAATTTTCTACATCATGGAATTTGGAATGTGGCATCTGTTGACTCAGTGCTTCAGCTGAATTTTCCATTTTATTGAACTATTGCAAGTGCTTATGTGGGTCCAATGAACAAAAAGATAAAACCAAGGGAAAAGATTTGCACTGATTTTTATCTCAAAAGAAGAAAAACAGACTCACACTACCAGAAGTGGGTTAACTTTTATACTATACTCGACACCTGAATTTCTTTTCCAGTCTTTTCTATTTCTAGAAATAAAATATTCTAGATAGTCTAGAATTCAGTTACCTAAAGCCTCTACAAAAGGACCATTGAACTTCAAGAGAGAGATGAAGCATGTAATATATTTTTATTCATTATGGTTATGCTTCTGAAAGTTTGGTTTTAAAATATATTTAAAATGTTGTTAGCTGATTTTTAAATGAAACTAAAAAATAATAAGCTGAATAGGGTCTTTTCTCTAAGTTTATAAACAACACCCTACAAAAAAATTAGCCTGACTTAATGATTAGGGCTATGGACTGGAGCTCAACAAATGCTTTTTATTCGCTGTGCCATCATTTCCCATTAAAAATGATAACAATAAATTATTTAAATTCACTGTGATAAATAGAATATACAGTAATTCTGTTTTCTTGCCTCAGAGGCATAGCGTGAGGTTAATTAAATAACAGCTGCAAAATACTTTTGGCTCTTTAGAGAAAGACATTATATAAGACATTATATTATATATGCAGCATTTTTTTCTCCTATGAAAATAGGGCTAATTGTTCCTGAGAAATAAGCCTATGGCAGAGAAAACAATCATGTAACAGCCTCCACAAGCACTTCATTCACAAGGGCAAAATTTTGTCACAGTTGGTAACAGACCCAGTGAATGCTATGCTTCTATTCTTTGTACAAAGACCACTGCCATCTTGTGGAAAACATTCATTGTCGTTATCTTAGGCTTCTATTTCATTTGTGGGAAATGGTGACAAGATAATTTGGGCTTTCTGCTATCGAAGATTCGTGGCTTATGAAGTGTTAGTCACCCTGAAGTCTGTTATCTGTGGCACATGAGGACTCAGTGAGGCCATGCTGAAGGTCAGGCAGTGTTAATGGAAGGAAGAGCTCTATAAACTAGACATCTCTCCAGGGCTTTGAACTATACATATTTCTCCACTAGGGCTTGCCACAAAAACCTGCTTTCATGTTCCATTATATTCTGGAATTAGGGCCAAAATAATAATAATAATAAAAGGAAAAAATAATTAATGGAAATTATTAAATTCAATGTTGATTGCTCTGGGAAAAATTATGTCAATCTGTAAATGGTGTTTGTATTTATCTGTCAAAAGAAGATGAGGGATTGCTTACAGAAAATAAATGAAACAGGACCATCAAACAGTTCTGAAGTCTACCAAGTTTGATAAATAATTGTCATATTTAGACAAACAGGATAAATTTTTAAATCTGTCCTGTAAAAATGGGTTTTTGGAGAAAGACAATTCCTTTCTAACCTTTTTCTTGTTTGTCGAAAGACTTAAAATTGATACCAAACTATACCCAGAGACAGTATAGCAAATGTCTTTTATTTATCCCAGAAACAAAAACTTTGCTGTAAGAAGTATTATTACATAGAAAAACACATAGTCTTTCTGGTCAGAAACATTGCCTGTTATTTTTAAAGCAAGCATTCCTTAAGAAACAGCTTTTTAAATTTGCACTTTTAATTATTGTGGTTGAGTTAGTCTTAGGCAAAAAAAAAAAAATGAATAGATGAAACTTGTCTTTGATACCCTAATCTCATCACTGCCATAATTTTACCCCCCCACACTTCAAATATCTTTGGTCAGGAGTCTTCTCATCTCTGTGTTAAGGCAATAGCTTCTTCATTCATCAGATAATTTAAATTTATATTAATTTACACTAAAATGTTGCAGATTAGGTCACTTTAAAACTAGGGACATTTTTTGAAAAATTATTAGTCAGTCACCGCTTAATCCAAAAGGTAGAACAATTTATTAAAAAAAGATTCTAGGAAATTTGGCAGGGGAGAGAGTTTGGTATGCGATTTTCTCTCTAGAACCCAAGATTTCATTATGTGGATAGCCATCTATTCAGCTTATTGATTTTTAACAGTTAAAAAAAAAGTACCTGAGCAAGAGTAATATCCTAATTCCTTCAAACAAAATGATGTCCTCTTACCACAACTTCAAATCTTATCTCAGCACAGTATTGCATCCAAAAGACATAAATTACAGAGGTATCTTGAAGAGGCAATGGAAAGAGGAATCAGGAATACTACCACACATAATACAGAGAAGTTTTTGCTATAATCTTTTTTGGATAGACTTTTCTCTTATGTCCCTTGAATTAGGGCAGTCTATTCCCTAAATTTTTCATCTTTGTGTTTCCAAAAGCACATCTAGCCATTTTTTTTTTTTTTTTTTTTTTTGCGTTATTGACCTCCATTTTCTTATGTAAGCAGAAGTCTTTACACTGTAATTCTACTTAGTGTTCAGGTCAGCATATTAGCAGCCCAGGAACCTGGCAGTGATAGCAAAGAACTCTCTTTTAGGGAGTAGGGAGAGGGTCAAAAACCACGAACATGTATCTTTAATATTTTTGCTCCTATAGCATTGACGAAAGATCACATTATCAAAAAAAAGGAAGAGTTCCTGTTTGAGGACCATTTTATCCAAAGTCAGGGCTGATCCCTATTTAGCCCTCTGAAGAGTAACAAGTATGCCGTAAGTGGTGTACCAGAAGACAATTTCAGGTCTAGGTACATAGTGACTCAATGAACATCTTCGTTCTTCTGCCTGGAACACTATTTTCCCATGTTTGTTGGCCTAGCAAACTCCAAACCATGCTTGAAGAACCAACTATTAACTCACACACTGAAACAGCTTCTCTGGCACAGATTGTTAGTTACCTTCCTTCCAGTCCATTATTTGCTTGTTTCTCATGACAGTACAACTTTCTATTTTTAGCTAAAAAGATAGCCTCCAAAAAGAAATAGTATGTTTCTATTTCTCACTTATTTTTCCCTTAGGTATGGCCATAAAACTAACTCCTTGCCAGTGGCATATGGGCTTAAAGAAGGTGTTAATCTGCTGAGCTATTTTATTAAGAGAATTCTGGGTGCCTTCAACTTGCCCAGTTTCCCCTTCCTGCTGGCTAGAATGAGGATGATGGTGAGAACTATTGTGGATTATGTGAATTAAGCAACACACTGGTGATGGCAGAGAAAACAGATGAAAGGAAACTAGAGCCTCAATACTGCGGAAGAGCCAACATACCAGCCCTGCAATTTCATGCCAAGAACTGAGGTATGAGAAAAACGATTTCTTTTAAGCTACATTAACTTTAGGTCTCAATATTCAAACTCAAGAACCCTCCAACATGTTCCGGTAATACTCTGCGCAGGTTTCTCTTCAGACACTGGTCTCTTTGTGTTCAATAAATATTGGATTTCTTACTTATGGATTCAGGGCAGGCAGGATATCTTATTATTACTTATATTCTGGTGTTAGGTACACTGTATGTTTGAAATAAAAATATGCTGACTGGATAGATGAATGAGTGGTTGAGTGAATAAATGAATAGATAATAGGTCATGTGATCAGTTTGTATTCACTAAGATTCAGATATGTTTACCTTATGACTTAATGTAGTTTCCCAACGAAATTTAGAGGACAATATTTAAATATAATAGAAAAAAGAACAAACTTTGGGCATTAAAAAAACATAAATTGGGGAAAGGACACCTTATTCAATAAATGGTGCTGGAAAAATGGGTAAGAATGAATGTAGGAGAATGAAGCTGGATTGGCTTAGGCCATTGGTTTCGGCAAAGAATTCATTCATTGCTTAGGCAAATGAAACAAAAATAAAAATAAATAAATGGGTCTACTAAAATGAAAAAACTTCTGTACAGCAAAAGAAATAATCGGCTGAGTATAAACAGACAACCCACAAAGTGGGAGACAGTATTCACAAACTATGCAACTGACAAAGGACTCAAACCAATCAGCAAAGAAAAAAACTACTAATTCCATCAAAAAGTAGGCAAAAGACATGAATAGGCATTTCTCTTTTTTAAAATGTACCTGACTTGTGAGGGTACCCTGTCTAATGTATATTTCTAGTGTTTACAGACAGTAAATGTGTATATGTAGTAACTATTTACAGAACATGCATCCTTAAACTGTGACTTCTCACCTAGTGCAGAATTTTACCTTACCAGGGTGTAAAAACAAAACCTCTTATCAGCTCTGGAACAATACCTGCAGTTATTCCCCATCTATTTGGACAACTTAGTCAAATTGGGTTTATAACTATTAGGAATCACTGCACAGTTTATTTGGGTTGTATTTTGTTTTGTGTCTGAGTTCCCTCTCCCTCATCCCTTAGGGTCCAAAAGAGCAATGGAGGAAGTGACAGCTAATGTTGCAGTTCTTATTGAATGGCATAGGACTGGCATTATATAGCAGAAATGAACTACTGTACAATTTCTTGGGGTTAACCATCTTTAGTTAAATGGAATTTTAATTTAAATGAAGCTTTGCTAATTTTAAGTGGTAAGCATTTTGCATTAAAATATTCATATAATAAAAAAAAATGGCTTAGGCCATTGGTTTTGGCAAAGAATTCATTCATTGCTTAGGCAAATGAAACAAAAATAAAAATAAATAAATGGGTCTACTAAAATGAAAAAACTTCTGTACAGCAAAAGAAATAATCGGCTGAGTATAAACAGACAACCCACAAAGTGGGAGACAGTATTCACAAACTATGCAACTGACAAAGGACTCAAACCAATCAGCAAAGAAAAAAACTACTAATTCCATCAAAAAGTAGGCAAAAGACATGAATAGGCATTTCTCAGAAGAGGATATACAAACAGCCAACAAACATTTTTAAATGCTCAATACCACTAATTATTAGGGAAATGCAAATTAAAACCACAATGAGATACCACCTTACTCCTG